TTTCTTTTCTTTTTTTCTTGGGTTCTTACAAAACTGAAAACTACAAAAGCGGTTTTGTAATAGAAAAACAATGGACATTTATGGAATTTTCCCACATATACACCAAAACGTTGTCGTTGAATTATTTTCTCAATCTTTTTAATATAGCGGATTCACCGATGCGAAATCTGATTAGGTTGCATGGAAACTCTTTTCGAAGTCCGTTTTTCGTTTCTGAAACGTTTTAGTAACAGAAATTTTTGGAAGCTCGGAAACTATAACGGAAACACGATTCCTAATTTTTTTTTATTTGGTAACACAATAGAAACTCGCGTTTCCATTTCTGAAATCCAACGGAATCTCACATTTTAAGTTTAGAAACTCAATAAACAAATATATTAATTTATGATAAATAGAGTGATTAGTTGAATACCGTCAAAACCTGATTAATTTAATTTAATATATAATATATAAATATCAAAATTTATAGATTTTAGTGTTTTAATATTATAGATTATGTGTTATTTCAAAAAAATTTTTTAAATATGGGTTGAACGTTTTGATATCTTAATTTTATATAAAAAATTGTTTCTCGTTTTCGAAACGTTTCGTTTTAGTGTATTCGTCTCCGTTTCTATGCAAGACTGAAAAGAAAAAAAAAGAACAAGTGAGATTAATATGTAGTGGAAATCATGTGAACTAAGCTTTAATACTTTTACGTGGAATCGTTAAACCGTAACGCATACTTTGACCGTTTACTGAAAAATTTGGCACGAACTCGTTTGAAAACTTATGAAAATCAACTACATATCACTGTTCAAGTATCCTTCTGGTTCTAATCCATGTCCTCGAAGCTTTCTCTTCCAAAAACTTTTTTTTTCTATGTAGATTTTTATTTTCTGTCAATGGTCACAAAGTTATTAAAATGTCTTTTCACAATCATAATTTTATATTTAAAAAAAATGATTGGGTCAGTTTTATTTTGAAGTAACAAAATACCAACAAAATGGTGACAAATTTTTATTTATTTATTTTTTTTGACCAAGAAATGGTGACAATTTAAAAAGAAGTAATTTCTGGTAGTTGAGTCAGTGTTTACAATTGGCATTTTAAACTATTTTCATGGTCCTAAAATAAAAATGGAATAGTTATGTTTGTTTTCTTGTCGACATCGCCGTGTATATAATATACGAATCTGCAATGGCGTGTTTCGTTGTACTTTGTAGTACTTTTAAAGAAGTTGTACTTTCCTCTTCAAGAAGTAATTAAATTCACACCTAACAATGAAAAATAGATCTGCAGAAGAAGAAGAATCTCACAAAACACATGACAGTTGCATTTAAAAGTTTTACAAGTGCAGTATCTCTTTAGTAGTAGTCCCAAATCTACCATTTGTCCTATTATGTAATATTTTGATCAAAAAAATCATACCAATTATACAGAAATAGAAATAATAAACTGTTTTGAAATAAAAATAACGGATTGACTATGCTCTTTGATACTTACGGCAAAAGTTTGATTCATGGTCAATGTAGTTCATGCTTTTTCAGTGTCGATCTAAATTCATGGAGGTCTATGACTTTTTTTGTAATTTTGTATTTTACTCCTTCTGTTATTATTAATTATTTTTTTAGTTTTTCACCGACGTCAATAAAAGATATTAAAAGAGATTACAAATGCATTATTTCTTATAATTACATTTTTTATAGTTTTAAACCAATTGTATTTTACAATTCATCACTAATAACAAAAAAAAAAAAAACGTTGACAAAAACAAAATAACAAATAAAAATGCAGACAATTTATTTTTTAGTAATAATGTGTGTTTGAAGGGTGTTTGTTTATTACTGGTTTGGAACCTTCAAACTAGCAAACATCAATTTATTAGAGCTCGTTTGGAACCTTCAAATCAGTTGAGAGTCTGTGATTGTAACTAGCAGAAAAACGAATTAGCGTTGTATTTTGGTTTGAATTGTGTTATTAATTACTTATTATGTCACTAAAGTTTTTCCTATAGTAGATGATTATTTTTCTTTAAGACAACTAACCACAAGTGTTGCTTTACTAGCGATTTAGTCATCGGTGAGCAATGCGTTGCGTTTTGACATACGCAAAAACACATGTGTGGCACTTCAACTATATAAATATTCATATAGACATAAATTGTTAAATTAAAATGTCCATAATATTTATATTCAACTATTTTTTGTACTATGATTTGGACCATGTTGTTGTTAAAGATGGAATCTATGACATGTAAAATTTCTCATCTTGATAAGTTTTGGGAATTTAAGAGCTTTGGTAAAAATATTGGTTACTTGATCATATGTGTATTTTCGTTCTCCAGTTGCACATGCATCTTGATAACACGTTGTCTAATGTAGTAATAATGTGTGTCAATGTCCTTTTGTCTATCATGAAAAACTGAATCTTTTTCTCCAAAGCTTTAATGAATTGTTAGCCACATAGATCTCTATTGGATCCTCTTGTGACAAACAAAATTCTTTTGAAAAGTTTAGTAACCATGGGAAACAGCTAAAGTAGTAAATATGTAGGGAATTCACAATTAAAAAGAGTGACAATTATTTACATCTTTGACATCCATTTTCAAGGCAGAACATAAAGCCATTTGTGCTCTTTTAGTCATTATCGTCACTTTATCCAACAAAACTTGTAATTATTAAAAATATATAGCCAAACAAGTAAAACTTTATTGAGTTTTTGATACAGTACAAAGATTGTGTTGTTGTTGGATCATGGATGCTTCATGTATCCACTCACGCCTCCAATGGTATCTAAAATATAAAATGCCTTCTCAAAAAAAATTTGTCTTTTTCTCCCTTGACTATGTCTTGTGGAGGCTCAATGTAAACATTTTATACAAGATTTCTAAAGAAGACTGATTAAATTACCTATTTGATGAATCCTCTAATAGTTTCAAGAAGAATGAGAATTAAAAACAAATTTGAGGTAGAGGTAAATTATTTACCGCTCTAGTAGTGGAGTATAACCATGTGTTATGCCACACTATTGCTTTGTCTCCATTCTCATTCTCATATTTGGTGTCAAATAGTTTTGCATGCTTCTGATGGAAACATTGAGAGGTTGCACCTTGTATAATATGACCTTTATTGGGAATGATTGCCTACATACAAATTAAATATTTTAGTTATTACATACGCAAGTGAAAAAATAATAATGTCTAAACAAACATAACGATCCCACACCTCAACACTTGTAGTGTAAAGTCCAGCTTTGTCATTTTGACACTTAACCACGGGGATTGCAAAATATACTTCATAGAGTACTCTTGAAACTCCAAAATTTGGAGCACCTGAAAACAATAGATTCTATTGCTAAATGATGTTGCGAGACACTTTAGCACATAAGAAAGAACTTACATTGTCACATGCTTCTTCTTTTGTATAGAATGCAATATGGCCTTCTTGCCACATGCTGTATTTAGGGACTTGTTCAAGAGTTGTCCTCTCAATTTCGTCTATAAACAGAGACAAAGTTTTTTTCTTCATTTTCTTGAATTCTGAATCAAAGAGAGTGTAAAATGGAGACATGTTACATATTTAATGGAAACAGAGGGGTCACTAGCGATTTAGACGGCGGTAACAAGAGCAATGTGTTGCGTTCTGACATACGAAAAACATATGCGTAGCACTTCTACTATATAAATATTTAATTTATTATATAACCATATATTGTTAATTTAAAATGCCCATAATATTTATATTCCACTATTTTTTGTACTATGATTTGGACCATGAAGTTGTTAAAGACAGAATCTATGACATGTAAAATTTCTCATCTTGATATGTTTTGAGAATTTAAGAGCTTTGGTAAAAATATTGGTTACTTGATCATATGTGTATTTCCGTTCTCCAATTGCACATGCATCTTGGTAAGACATTGTCTAATGTAGTAATAATGTGTGACAATGTCCTTTTTTCTATCATGAAAATCTGAATTTTTTTCTCCAAATTAAAGCTTTGATGAATTGTTATCCACATAGATCTCTATTGGATCCTCTTGTGACAAACAAAATTCCTTTGAAAAGTTTAGTAACCATGGTAAACACCTAAAGTAGTCAATATGTAGGGAATTCACAATTAAAAAGAGTGACAATTATTTACATTTTTGACATCCATTTCAAGGTAGAACATAAAGCCATTTGTGCTCTTTTAGTCATTGTCGTCACTTCATCCAACAAACTTGTAATTATTAAAAATATATAACCAAACAAGTAAAACTTTATTGAGTTTCTGATACATGGACTTTATACTGCCTTAAAATGTGTTGTTATTGGATCATGGATGCTTCATGTATCCACTCACGCCTCCAACGGTATCTAAAATATAAAATGCCTTCTCAAAAGAAAATTGTCTTTTTCTCCCTTGACTATGTATGTAGTCTTGTGGTTGCTCAATGTAAACATCTTATACAAGATTTCCAAAGAAGATTGATTTGACATCTATTTGATGAATCCTCTAATAGTTTCAAGACGAGCAGCAAGAGCACATACTTCATCATAATTGCCTTTGACTATGAGTTTTTGCCACAAATCTTGCCTTGTATCTTCCAACATCTCATCTAGTGTTTCTCTTAATTTGTTTTGTATTGAGTTTTGACAAAATAGAGTAAAGCCGTATTGAGTTTTGGACCTTTTGGTAATTTGTAAATATCTCGTAGACTTCTGAAATTTGGAGTCCTTTCACTCGATTTTTCTTTTTCTTGAGAATTCGTTGGTGAAGCTGTTGGTGTGGTAGGCTTGTCTCTTGGTTGCCCAAGTCATCTTCTTCAAAATGTGAAGTAAAATTATAAACTTGGACTTTATTATTTGAAAATACGAGAACTAGAATCCAATGAGATTTCGAAGTGGATTTATTTACTAGGAACTATCTCTTAGTGCTAAGTGATTAAGTCGAAAATTAGATTTTCGTTTCTCCTTCTGACACATGCTCTTTAGAAAAATCTGCAGAAGTTTGAAATTGTGGATTCAGTTACAGAACTGGGGTTGCAAAGTCCAGCATTAGACCTAATAAACCATTCGTTCTCCCAAAAACAAAAATGTGAATCATTTCTCCTCAATGTTCAAACACAAGATACATATACATACCCAAAGAACAGTGGTTGTCACAAGAACTGAGACACATTTCCAAAGAAGAGAGCACAAAACAAAACAATTCTATGGCCTAAGAGATATTGTCAACTCATTGACCTCAAATTCTCTGACATTTTGAAGAAATCGCCTATCTATGCTCGAACACTAATCCGCGAGGTTCCAGATAATCCCCAAAACTAATCGAAGTAACCACTTGGTACCTAAATCACCAGCCTACAAAGGATACCAAATATGAGATGTGCATATATTGAGAAACTTAAGTCATATCTAAATAATATTTGTCCATATGTTTTAGGCCATAGAATTTCCACATGGGATTTCAACATAATTATCTAACAGAACTTAAGTGCGTACCTTTAGATGAAGATGCTCATTTTGTTTCCACACTGTGATTCTGCAGTGGAGTTCCTGATGTGTTTCTAGCCTTCTTATACCAAAAGAACATGGACCAAAGTGCTCTAAGAAATACTCCATTTGCAAAATGTGGAATAAATAGACGCCCCCAATACGGGTAGTATGGTCCAGGAAGTTTAATCAGAGTGAAGAGCATCATCATAGCTAGCAAATGCCACGGCACTTCCGCTTCCTGCAAGAACAAAAATAATATTGTAAACCGCTGCATTCAGTTTACACATTCCCAAAACAAAATCTTAAAGGTATAATTTGGGATCAATCAACAGCTGTTTCTCTTTTCTACTACCTTAAGACGGGGAGACATCTTCAACGCGGTTTCTTGTAGAATGCCCGCAACAACCATACCGATGACTAATGGAAACGGGACTAAAGCAAGTTTCCTCTCATGTGCACAATAAGACATCTCACTGATGGAAGAAACCGCAAATATGGGAACGAACAAGAACTTCACTACCGATATAGCGAGATCAAGAACGAGCTGTATGAAGTTTCCAAATGCTCTATTCCAAGGGAACTCCTTAACCGGCTGTGGAGAATTATCCCACACATCTTTTGTTTTCCTAAGCAGATTATCAAAACTAAGCCTCTTTGGTTCCCCTGAATGTTCAGATTCCATATGAATTGCACGACAGAGGAGTGATCTCTTTGAGACTTTAGCTTCATTAGCACCCTTAAAGGTACAATCTTTAATGTTCTTAGAGTAGAACAAAGTGAACTGGAAAACAAAATACAGAGAAATCAACAACAGCTCATAACACAACAAATGATAAAAAAACGAACATGAACAAAGTTGGGGTAAAAATCACAAATTTGCTATATGCCTAACGAAAGATTCATAATTTACATGTTCCGTAGATCAACAAAGCAAGCCTAAGTGCAATTTCTCCCACAGTCCAATTGAAAAGTTCGTCTTCAATCCAAAGACCCACATGAGAAATAATGAAAAGTAACAATTTTTTTTTCTGGGTCGAGAAGCTAAATTGAAGATTTGGTAGAAGAAGAAGAGAGAATTGGCTACCTGGGTCGAGTAAAGTCGCAGAGCCATTGAAGGTCGAGGCGAAGAAAGAAAGAGATGAGACATCGTCGCCATTATATCTAAGAAAAAACTGTTGCTTTGATTTTTTCAGAGTTGCTCTCTCTGTGAGCAAAGAGGATAAGAACCGAGGGTTCAAGCCTACTGGGAGAGAAAGAGATGGAAAAGAAAAAAGGAGTCGGGGAAGGTGGGATCACCTGAGCCAGTGACCACCGTAAGATCACGTGAGCTCGTGTATAATCTAAGATTTATTTTTATTTATTTTTAATTTTTCTCCAATTATTTGATTGATTGAAAACAAAGAAAAGGTTACATGAGTTGATGAAGAGAGGGGAAAGAAATTGTTTAGAGAAAACAGAAAACATCAAAAACAAAAATAAATAAAAATTTTAAGAGTTTTTGCCAATCAATCCACCCAAAAGCCCAGCTTCCTTCCAATCCAAGTCCTATCTCCTTTGTTTGTTGGTACGACTTGACAATACAATACACTTAAAAGTCCCATGATGTATGGTTGCATGCAGGATTGACTTGCGATCCAACAACAAAATAATGTCTCAAGAAAGTCGGTACCCCAGCCAGCATAGAATACTCAAACGACAATGTTGGTGATGGTGGTGGTGTGCGGCTCGGTGATGGTGGCGGTGTCTGGTCGTAAGCAGGATTGGCTTGCTCTAGTGCCACAGCGTGAGGTAGTGAAAAAGAACCATCGTTCGATTCAACAACAAAAGGATATCTCAAGACACCCGCTGGTACATTATTCGGTTTAAATCGGTACAAGAAAGTCATATATCCTGAATGTTTCCCCGACAGAGTTTTTACCTGATGCCTTATCAGTTTCATCTCCTGATTGCTACCGCCATCGTCAATTGATGGTGCGTTTGAATTCAAAAGCTCGGCTAATGGGATGTTGACTCTTCCGATTTCTTTGTTACCTAAGACTCGACGAGAGATTAATCTCATGACAAGTGTCAAACGACCATTATGGGCTGATCTCTCGTTGACAGAAAACTTGACGGCCTGGTTCCAAGTCGGGTTAGATCCACCAGAACGATCGGCAATGGTTTTCGCCTTTTGTTTTTTTCGAGTATTTTCACCATGAATGGAGATTTTGGCGTACACGTCCATTTTTGTGAAGAGATTGACATTCCCAAGGTGACTTGCAGAATGAATGTTGAGATATAGAGTTAGATTTGCCATAACTATAACAAGAGTGTAACATCAACTCTACAAGTTCACCTTATAACATAGCAGAAAATAGGAGAGTAACCTAGTGTAAATCTAGAAAACTACTCAAAATGGAAAAATGTAGAAATTATCAAAACATATAATTTGAGAAAGATTTAGCTAAATCTAATTAATTTTATTATTTATTTCACCAGCTAAATCTAATTAATTTATTTCGATATAAGTATATATATTTAGCTAAATCTAATTAATTTTATTATTTATTTCACCAATGAGTATCTGTATCAGTTTTTTCTAAATTGGTTTCTTGAATTTGAGAATAATTACTTATTTTGATACAATAAACAAAACTATTTCTTACAGCTAATATTTTTTTCCTCGGATTACATAAATCATGTGTTAATACTTTCAATATAAGTATATATATATAGCTAAAATCTAATTAATTTTATTATTTATTTCACCAATGAGTATCTGTATCAGTTTTTTTCTAAATCTAATCACGTCTCTGTATTTAGAAGAGCTAAATCTTATCACGTCTCATTATTTGTGATATTGGTTCACTTTTCAATCATATCTTAGTTTTTATCTGCTTAAATTTACTAAAAAAATATGTATGTAATTGGTTGGGCTGCAAAATGGTTTAGAGCTTTTAAAGCATATATATAACAATGTCCAAATTAAAACCCATATATTTTAACAGCCTAAGTTTTAATCTCTGTTCATATTTTTTTATATTTCTAAAAAAAATATTTTTGGGGTTTGAGGTTACAAGTTACATCTAACATAAAATATCATATACAAAAAAAAAAAAAAATAACAGTATATATTGTATAGCTACGATCCAACCCATAATCATGGAAATATGTCATGTTTCCAACTAAAACCTTATTAATAGTGTGAGTTGTGATACTCATGACTTCTTTTTGTTTTGACATCTATATATCTATATATAAGCTATTTCATAACCCACAACGACCAAATGATTCAATCCCTTGCACCAAATGTAATGTACCAACGTAACCAACTTTTTTTTGGACGACTCAGCATTGATTGTGGAGATTCAATGAGTGATAAATATTCAATACTCTTGATCGCTTAAAATTGTGCATCTAATGGGTGCAACTTCACTCTAGAACTTGCCACACACAAATGATGGTTTACATTGTCGATGGTGAGGGCATTCTTATTGGTAACATCTTAAGGAGTATCTTAGGGTAAGATACTCCTTAAGATGTTACCAATAAGGATGGTCAATGAGGATACTGTACGTTGGCTATTGGTGTTGATTAATATATAGCATTGATGACCATTTGGAATTTGTAGCAAGGTGTATGTGGTTTTCTTGAGTGTGAAGACCATTTAATTTGGAATATGTGATTCCACTATCCAAAGATCAACTCGTGCCAAGCATATTATCAAAGTCCTCGACAAAAATATCAATAATTATTCTACGATAGAAACATGGAGTTGTATCGAGTGAATTATAGCAAAACAAATGAGATCATAACAGATTAAAAGAAAAAAAGTGGAAACCATAATGAACTTTACAAAATTTTCAATGATCAAGCATATATATCAAAAGCAAACATCGTACAATATGTAGATTGCGTTTTTTCAGTTTTGCTATTGTTTGTTATCATTTTCATGCATGTTGATAAATTACATTGGCAAAAGGTCATGTCTTGACATCTTGTTCAGTTGAGAAAATAAAGATATTATATATTTAGAGAAGCTTTATAAAAACTAAAGAAAGAAAGAATGAATGAAAGTATGTAACACATAAAAACAATTAAAGCACATAACCTCACACTAAAAACTAAAAGTAGTACAATGTGTTTAGAGAAAACTATGCTAAGTCAGTTAAAACCGCTATAGATCACTAGATAGTGCAATTTCTTTATCTCACTTAGCATGGTATTACAAGAACATGAAACACAAAATATTAAAGCACACAGTCTCACACTAACAACTTAAAAAGTAAACCAAATGGACTTTGATCCGGTGGTTTTCAGTTGAGAGAAAGAGCTACTATGCTGATCTAGATCAAGGATCAATTCCTCTCAAACGCGAAAACATTAATCATTTTCTTTTGACCAGAAGGTTTCACCTAGTTTTTTCTTAAACGATAAGAGAATTAAGGACTTGAACCCGAATCTCCTAACTAGTAATAAAACAAAAAACTAAATAGGTACAATGTGTTTAGACAAGACCATGCTAAGTGAGCTAATGCACCGTTGTAAACTTTTGTTACACCATCCTATCCCTCCTTCTCCTTCCACCGATAAGGATTTTTCTTCATTTAGTTTTCCTTTAAGGTTTTCTCTCTAAATCCTTAATATTTTGTAAATTAGCTTTCAAAAATCCTATTTTAAGGTTTAGTAACATTGAAACCCAAAAAAAATGACTTTTAGGTTGGAAAATTTAAAACCTTAAGGATTAAACATTAATTAACATTTTTAACAAAATCATCTTAATTAATTGACTTTGATATGATATGCAACTGAAATGTATTCATATATGGTGGTATGTAAGTTTTACATGAAAAGGAAACAACAATATAAAAAGACATGATCAGTTTTAGGACTCTTCTGTAATAAACAAAGGGGATAAGGTTCACAAATAATGTAAAGCAAGTGTCGGCATAGAATAATACGATATTGCCTACAATCAAATAATCGATCGAATTATTCTCCTTAGTGTTGTTTGAGTCAATTATTCCATTTGATACATTAAACATCCATTTTAGTGATTCTTTAAACGTCTGTTAATTACCAAATCAATGAAGATTGTTTTCAAAACCATGATACGATGAACCACACCACCTAACACCAAGTCCCGACAAAGTTCTCTCCGATGTCGAATCATATACTGGAATCTTATTATGTGATTCGATCTATAGTACAGTGGTTACCTTATTAAAACAAAGTGTACCACTAGAGTCTAGACTAATATGGACCAATATGGTAATAGGCTATTTTTGGTGCTTTTGTTCTAGACTTTAATTAAGTATTCTTTTTTACGCACATAAAACAATTAAGGGATCCTTCGATGTCGAAGAAAAACATTGTTTTTAGTATCGATGCATTAGTTAATGGACCGTTGGATCAGTGTGGTTGCCTAATTTCGGTGGTTTGTTTAAGAATTTAATCGAGTAACTTTTAATTGACATTGAAAGAGAACATTTAAAATTCTCCTTTTTATGAGTTAATGTGGACTCTTAATTGCGTGAAGTCTCATACAAATTACTTAATACTTCGTTAATAGTACATTAAATGTTCTTATTATTTAGCGTAATCAGATCAAACTATCAAACATGATATCAAATAGCCGGGACCAAGGACTCATAGTAGAAAGTAGAAACGTTATTGTTATGTATCAATTCCAATTTGGTTTACATATGTTTAATTTACGGACTCTTATGTCCGATTTGTTCAAGGTTTGAGCTACATATATATTCCAAAAAATATGTAACAGTGAAACAATATTAGATTTCACTTGGTTCTTTATTATTTAGAAAAAAGTAAAGTGTTAACAACTCAACTCGTAAAGTATTTGTGATAAAATTTAGAAGTCGCTTTTTCTAATGAAACTTACGAGTTGTTTATATAAATGATATGGATTCTAGTTTAATGAGAAATACGGGTTTAGATCTAGAACCTCTTAAGTAATTATATAAAACATACTTAGTAATCATTTTAGAAAAAGGAATAGTTACTACTGATCTTTATATGGCCAACACTTTATTAATTACCAACAGTTTTTCATGTTTGAGTTAGGAAACGAAGACTAATCGATCACACATTAGAAGTTTAGAACTAGATATGTGTCACTGTTAGTCTTCCACTGCGACGGAGAACATAAATTAAGAGGGTGTTATTGGTTGTATAAATTGAAGTCAACTCTACTAAATTTTAAAGTTCATCAGATTTTAAATAAAATAGATTTATTGAAACTGAATAGTTATTTATTTTGACAAATCGGTGGAAATGTATTTCCAACGACATATCATATCATTTGGTTTTGAACAATATAATTGAATTCTATAACAAATGACTTTGACAGTCTATTTATTTTCCAAACTTTTCATCATCGTGTTATAATTTATTCATATATGTATATGATATTTATATAGGTAATGATATAGTATCACCGTAAAGATAAAACACTGCAAATTAATATTTTATAATAAAAAAGTTTTGTGATAATAGTAGGGATGATCATGGTAATATTCTAATTGATATATATGGTGTTATATGTTGACGTGAATGTAGAAGAAAATGATTTACGTTGATTGTCATAATAGAATTGTGAAATCTTAAGTTAACAGGTTGTTTTCTTATTGCTATAATTTACACATAAAATCAGTTGAAAATCATTTCAGGTCAAAAGATTTGTAAAAGTCTATCAAAAATGAATAACAGAAGACTTTAATTAATGACTGTAAATATGAGAACCAATAACACTTGATTTAAAACTCTTTTATTATAGACATTAGAAATATAAGCATCAATAACACTTGATTTCAAACTCTTTTAATGGAGAAATTATAAATATAAGAACCAATAACACTTATTTTGAGTAAAACATTTAAAATCAATGGTTGAATAACATTAGATATTGGTTAGAGTTAGACTCTATAAAAATTCATTGTCCAATAACACCCACTAAGTAAATGTCACACACGGAACATATCTGCACAGATCAAAACTTATTTTTAAAAAATGAAAATAAATCAAAGATCAAAATCTTTGTCCCACAGCTGTCGTCCTCGTGTCCTTGTGGTATAATCTTTCGTCCTGATCCTACCAAACCAAAAACCAAAGGATCACAGCGATGCATATCTGATCTCTTTCACTGTCGTAATATGATCATTAACATAAGTATTCACGTGAGTAAAGTTACACATGAAAGAACTATTTAACTACATTTGTCTCCGATGATAAGAATGGTGACAACAAGATAATAGTGAAAAGCAAACTGGTCAAGCTGGAATAAGCGAGATTAATAGGGATAGTGTAAAACGACCGGGAGGGAAAAAAACAAAAAATAAAATAAGCAAATAGGAAACAAACGAAATAAAAGTTTAATGATGATCACAAATTTTCTTTTGCAATTATTAAAAAACAAAGAATTTATTTTGTAATATAATTGTTATATTCCAAATAATGTTTTGGAACAAAATCTTTTCGTAATTGAAAAACTTAATCCGTATAAAGGAATTTTAAAAAAACAAAAAAAAAAAAAACCACTTCATAATTCATGAGTTATATGATTGCACAAGGCCACAAGCTTTCTAAAATCCTTTATGTAAAACTTTGGTATATAGAGAACATAAATGAGGCTATTAATAATAATCTAAAACCATGCCGTGCCCGAAACATATTCAACGCTTTATAGCTGATTTTAAAATAATGAAATGAGGATTTAGGTAAATCTTTCTACTTTTATAAACGTATGTTTACGATATTCCCGATCCTCCGGTGAAGAAAAATACTAGTATTTTACAATATCATATAGGAATGAGATATTTCCAATCTATTGGGGAAGGATTATATGATATAGTACTGTAATATAATCGGGATATTAACAGTCACTAATAAATACATGTGCATGGACTGAACTCGACCATGCATGCCTTAGTTAATGTTTTTAGTTTATGAACATATCTATGTAATGGATGTATTGAGAGAGTGTGTGTATCTGTTTTCGGATTAAGGTTTAAAACATTCTTGATTTGCGTTAGGGATTAAACACTATTTTAAATCTTTGTAAACTCTTGTGAATATTGGTTTAATTTCTGGAGAATGTGTATGTACCATGAACGTATAGATAAATACATGAACATCTTGTTTTTCCATTTTATAGTTATAGGGTTGACTACGTACAATTAAAATAGATCATCCAACTGTATCATTTGGATTAAAAATAAATGTATGATGCATAAATGAACATAACCCATATGCCGTATATCATGGATGTGAATTGTGATTAGTAATTGTTTTTTGTGATTACGTGTGAAAACATAGTCATAGTTAATCTCCAGAGCTCTAATTTATTTTCACATCCACTATTTTCCATCAATTACACAATTTTACTGCAAATAAATATAAATGCTGTATATTATAATAAATTTTCCGGCTATTTTTGTGGCCGAAATAATTTACTGTTAAATTAGTATCTTATTTAAATTCAGATCTGGAGATTTTGTTTAGAAATATCTATCAGATTTAATTTTCGTGTTTATTTTATTCGATCGGGTAGAACCGAAATCCGATTGGGTACCCGATTGCTCATCGCTAATATAAACTTTTTTTTATTTTAAGATACAAAACATTGTGCTAAGATACTCATTTTCAATTCTAAAATGCTTCCAATAATGATCATCTCATGGTTTACTTTTGTTATATTTTATTTGGGAAAAAGCTTAAAAATACCTCATTTATTTTTTATTTTGACGTTTAATACCTGATCTTTTTTGGTTGGAATAATAATACCCAAAATAATAAAAACGTGCAATTTAATACCTAAACTATTAAATATTGACATTTTCCTACCTACGATCTGACAACAAATTTAATTTTCCAATTTTACCCTTCTTCATTTATATTTATTATTAGTGCATAAATGACATGAAATTAATTATAATTTTATAGATTTAATTCAAAATATATATTTCGTTTTTTGTTTTAATCCAAAAATTTTTAAGTGATTCAATGAAAGCTTTATTTTGAATTATATATTTAGTATCCAAAATATATATTTCATTTTTATCCAAATATATATTTTTTAAGAAATTTAATGAAAGATATATATATATATATATATATATATATATATTGAATTATATATTTCATATCCAAAAATGATATGTATATTTCATATTTCATTTTTATCTAAAACTTTTTAAGAGATTCAATGAAAAATATTTTTTTTTGAAATATATATTTTATATCCAAAAATTGTATTATATTTAGATCCAAAACTTTTAAGAGATCTAACGAAATATATATTTTGAATTATATATTTCATATCTAAAAATGAATATTGAAGTATGAAATATATATATTTTTAATTAAAGATATACAGAAATATTATAATAAAATAGTAAAGTAAAATATTTTTATGCATTGATAATAAAAAGAAGTGAATAAGGGTAAAATTGGAATATATTTTTTGTTGAGAGATCGTAGGTAGGGAAATGACAATATTAAATATTTTAGGTATTAAATTACACGTTTTATTATTTTAATTATTATTTTTTCAAACTAAAAAGATCAGGTATTAAACGTGCAAATAAAAAATAGATGAAGTATTTTAAAGCTTTTTTCCCTATTTTATTTCAAGAACAAGTTTGCTTGTCTATGTACACCATACGGTATATTCTTCGTACGCGAAGTCGATAAGGTTATACACATATATCTTCTTCGTCGTCTTCTTTTTTGTTGTAGATTTTTTTTGTTAAATTGTTATACTACACATATCTGAATAAACGCCCCCTAACGTATTATTGGCTCTTCATGCACACCAAGAGCCAACGAAGCAAAGCATTTTCCCAAAGAAGAACAAAAAAAAAAAACTTGCTAATAATTGCTTGCAAGTTTCAAGCCACGTGGTGTTTTAATTGGACCATTCAAATAAAACTTAAAAATATGGATATTTGCATTATATATAAAGTCTGGTTTTTGCATGTAAAGAGAGACTTCACAACTTCGAGCAAAGTTTTTGGATACGCGGAAAATAGTGAGAAGAAACCAAACCAAAAAAAAAAAAACATTGTTTCTCTATTCTCTTGTTCTTATTAGTCTTACAATGGTGACTCTTAAAATGGAGATTTGCATCGAGTTGGTGAAGTTGACCGTAGATTTCGTCGCCGCCGTTGCGGAATCAATCGAAGTAGCTTTCCGCCACCGTCCTCCTCCGGTGACTCAATATTTTTCGGGGATGAATGGTCGCCGTAGTAATTACACCGCCGTTCCCATTCCTCTCGTAGGGTTTCTATAATTTTAATGTATTCTTTCTTCTCTTATATATGGTTCTTTATATGTTCATCTTGTTTCCATTGTTATTACCGTACCTCTTGCCTCGATCTGTCACGTTGTACTTAGGACAAAAGGTATGATTTGTATCGAGAGATCAAGATATGGTTTACGTACACACGTAAATATATTAAAAAAAAAAGCTTAGATACGTTCGCCGATCTTGTATATATATATTTTCTTTTGTTTCAATGTACATAATTTAGTGTATTCATAATTACTATTGTAATGCTCGATTATTTACAGCACATATGTGTTCACACTTACAAGATAGATCTGAGATACGGAAGTATGCAAATGTTAATATATTTAGGTCAGCGACGAACAACAACGATCGTGGCGATATTTGATTTTTAATTCGCCACTAGACAGAAACACAAAAATGATTGTCTTATCCATGTTTGAGATTTAAGATTAGATGTTTGTTGTGTGGTCTCCACACCGAGTAAACGTGTCGGAAACCATGTTATCTAGTTTTTGGAATATTTGTTTGTTTTTGTATATTTTCTTGGTTCTTGACGAATGAAGAATCATGCTCCATCTTTTGATCCATCATCGATGCACAAAACTGCTCTCGGCCCCTACTGAAACAGCAATTAATACGTTAGGCGATTAGATACGAGAACACAACAAATTTGTGGTACTGTTCTACTTGTATATCACTGTTCAACAATAATGCTGATAAATAATAACATGAAATCATTGTTTTGATTTTAGTGACACCATGAATCACCAAAGATTGTGGCAGCACTAGGAAATGGTATTTAACAGTCTTCAGAACTATAATAAACACTGTAGAGATCAGTCATCGACATTTCAATTATGGTTAAAACGAGAAAGTTGTTGACGACGTCAACGACCTGAATTTAGTTATATCATTTTTTAGTTCCAAATTAGCAACATTGATTTACTATTTTTATTATCTTGTAGAAACAAAACTAATTTTACATCTTCTTAATATAGCTCTAATAAGTCTCAAAACAACACTTGTAAAATCAGTTTTTTTTTGTCTTTTCTCTTATAATACCTTTCTTTCATTCTTAGACTTTACTTTTTTGTCAAGAGACTCTTCTATTAACCAGCCTTGGGTCTTCCCCAAGGTTTCTCATAAAATAAAATGATTAGAACAAAACTGGAGAGGCCTTTAGGCTGCTTCTTTACCCTCCTTCTTATCTCCTATAATGCCGTCGCTACCTTCCACGACCACGACGAAGCTTCTTTCCCGGAAGACGCCGATCTCACGAAAGACCTAGAACAAAAATGTTTTAGCATCAATAAAGTCGATCCTAACCTAAGATTTGAAAATGATCGTCTCAAAAGAGCTTACATTGCTCTTCAAGCGTGGAAAAAAGCCATTTACTCTGATCCGTTTAAAACCACGTCTAATTGGGTTGGTTCTAACGTGTGTTCTTACAATGGAGTTTTTTGTGCACCTGCTTTAGACAATCCTAGCATCAACGTTGTCGCTGGAGTTGACCTTAACCATGCAGATATATCTGGACATTTACCACCAGAGCTTGGCCTTATGACCGACCTAGCTTTGTTTCATATCAATTCAAACCGATTTTGTGGGATCATCCCTAAAAGTTTATCAAAGCTTGCTTTGATGTACGAATTTGATGTCAGCAACAACCGATTCGTCGGTAAGTTCCCTGACGTTACACTTTTATGGCCGTCTTTGAAGTATCTTGATATTAGATACAACGAATTCGAAGGAAGTTTGCCGCTAGAGATCTTTGATAAAGATCTTGATGCAATTTTCTTGAACAATAATCGGTTTGAATCGTTTATCCCGCATACGATTGGGAAATCGAAAGCATCGGTTGTGACATTCGCAAACAATAAATTCATTGGATGTATCCCGAAATCGATTGGTAACATGAAGAACCTCAATGAGATTGTCTTCACTGGAAACAATTTAACTGGTTGTTTCCCAAATGAGATTGGTTTGCTTAACAATGTGACCGTCTTTGATGCGAGCAAGAACGGTTTTGTTGGTAGTTTACCTTCAAGTTTGTCCAGTTTAGCTAGCGTTGAGCAGTTGGATTTATCGCATAATAAGCTCACCGGATTTGTTGTGGACAAATTATGCAAGTTGCCTAGTTTGGAGAGGTTCAAGTTTTCTTACAATTTTTTCAATGGAGAAGCTGAGAGTTGTGTTCCAGGGAGAAGCAATGGGAAACAAATTGATGATACGAATAATTGCTTGCCGAATAGACCGAGTCAAAAGTTGGCTAAGCAATGTTTGCCTGTGGTTAGTCGTCCGGTGGATTGTAGCAAGGACATATGTTCTGGCGGTAGCAACGGTGGCTCTACTCCATCACCAAATCCACCAAAGACGTCAGAGCCAAAGCCATCAAAACCAGAGCCAGTTATGCCAAAGCCATCAAAACCAGAGCCAGTTATGCCAAAGCCTAATGAATCACCTAAACCAGAACCACAAAAGCCATCAAAACCCGAGACACCAAAAACACCAGAACAACCTACACCTAAACCTCAGCCACCAAAGCATGAAAACAAGCCTGAGCTACCAGAACAAGAGGAGTCTCCTAAACAACAACCGCCTAAACCTGAAGATTCTCCTAAACAAGAACAACCAAAGCCAGAGGAATCACCTAAACCTGAACAACCACAAATACCGGAGCCTACCAAACCGGTTTCACCACCAAAGGAAGCTCAAGCACCGACTTCGGAATCAGATGATCCATACGACGCATCTCCGGTTAGAAAACGTCGTCCTCCACCACCACCCAAGGAAGAGGAAACACGTGTAGCACCACCACCGCAGCCACCAACGTTTTCCTCACCACCCCCACCGGTTTACTCACCGCCGCCTCCAGTTAATTCACCGCCGCCTCCGGTTAACTCGCCACCACCACCTCCAGTTTACTCGCCGCCGCCACCTCCAGTACATTCTCCTCCTCCACCACCTCCGGTCCACTCTCCACCTCCGCCCGTTGCTTCTCCTCCACCGCCATCACCGCCACCGCCAGTTCACTCCCCTCCACCGCCACCTGTTTTCTCTCCACCGCCACCATCACCAGTATACTCACCGCCGCCTCCAACACACTCACCACCACCACCACCGGTATATTCTCCGCCACCACCAATGTTCTCACCACCTCCTCCAACCCACTCGCCACCACCACCACCGGTATATTCTCCGCCTCCACCAATGTTCTCACCACCGCCAACACATATAACAACTCAACCACCGATGGAAAGTCCAACTCCGGTTCAAGCCCCAACCCCATTCTCTGAACCATCCCAAGTGCCAACTCCATCATCAGACTCATATCAATCACCAATGTTGTCACCAATTCAAGCTCCCACACCGGTTCAAGCCCCAACCCCATCCTCTGAAACATCCCAAGTATCACCAACTCCATCATCAGAATCGAACCAATCACCAAGTCATGCTCCAACACCAATTCTTGAACCGGTTAACGCCCCAACACCAATCTCAGAACCGGTCCATTCACCAACACCATCAAACGAACCGGTCTCATCACCAAAACAATCAGAAGAGGTTGAAGCGCCAGAACCATCAGCTGACACAAGTGTTCCACCACCACCGGAAGACAAGGAAGATGATGACGATGGTGATTTCGTCCTACCACCAAACATCGGATCCCAATATGCATCGCCACCACCACCGATGTTCCAAGGATACTAAAACCAATGTCCCATTTTTTAACTTAATTGTTTGTAACAAAAAAAAAAAATATATTTAATCCACAAGAAAAAACATCAAATGTCAGTTACAAACGATCTAATGTAATTTTTTAAAGTAGATGTTTCTTTTAGAAGAAAATTTCTCTACATTTTTTTTTGCCATTATATAATTTTTTTTAACTCTTCATTTTATAAATTATATATATATATATATATATATATTAATTAAGGAAAAAATAGAAATGTAGTTAAATATAAATATTCATAAAAATGTATATCTCATATAATATATTACATAGCTACTCTAATATACTAAACATATTTAATCTTCTACAATTCTTTCATAAATTAGTTACTATAAGTCCATAAAATATGAAATTTATACATAATAAAAATATTGAAATTAGGTTTATGGTATTCTTTTATTATTAAACTTATGCAATTAATATGTTTAAAATATATATAGTATCAAAGAATGCAATATAAAAATTGTTTTCCGACAAAAAAAAAAAATTGTTTTAATTAAAGCATCCGCAAACAAAGTTTAACAAGCCCAGCCCAGGCCCAAACAATTACAATAAAATTGTTTATGAGTGAAATTGTTTTTTTTTTGTTCTTAAATCAAGAAACAATTATTATATCCGTTAAAAAGGACCAAAAAAAAGGAATTAATATATCGGAAAAAGGAGAGAAAAAATTAGGTGGAAAAAAAAGAGTTAGGTGGTGGGGACGGTTTAGCTTTATTAATTAATTAAACCAAAAAAAACGAGTCGTGAACTCAGCGATTCCACCACTTACAGAGTCAAGGAGAACACAAACAGATTTGACTCGTTCGAGCATTTGTTTTTTTTTTAAGGTCCAAGTTGGGATTTTTATAATTTTGGGTTTGGGGTCACTCAAGCCAAAGCCAGGGTTAACCAGACAGAGAGAGAGAGAGAGAGGAGTGTGTGTGCCCTTTTGACCCCATAAGCAAAAACTTCAGATCTGGAAAAAAAAAAAAAAGGGTTTTGCTTGGGATTCTCCGGCGTCGTTTAATGATCTGGTCCCTCTTTGGTTTTTTAATCTCTTTCTCTGTTTTTTGATTATCAAGAAATTGTATGCCACGCTCCTCTTCCTTCCACATGTTTCTTCTCTCATCCTTCCTTCTACTCAATCTCCTGGTAACTTCTTAATTTCAAAGTTTGGTTCTTTTTTTAATTGTTTTTGTGGCAATTCTCTGATTCTGAATACTGTTAGATTCAAAGATGTGTGCTTTTGTTTTTGGGTACTTCAGATTTTGTGTTTCAAGTCTGCATCTAGCCTTGATTTCGATTTGTGTCTGAGAAATTTGTTTAAAGCACTTTTGTAGATTCTGCTCAGGGATGTCTGCATCTGTCAGATTTATTGAAGAATAGTGTTTTAATTGTAGCCTCCCCCGACTGTAGATTTGACTTGTGTCTCAGTTATGAAGACTCTATATATATATATAAGAGTGGACTCCATAGATCTGTGACTAGTAACTTTTACTTGGTATAGATTTTTTAACCAGCCACTTTGTTTTTGAATGCTTGTTGTTGATTCTAATCTATTATGTCTGAGATATGTTTGTTTATAAGGATGAGCTTTCTTGTACCTGATGGTCATGTTTGCATGTAGGATTAACTACGAAATCTGGTTTCAAGACGGGTTGGTAGGATTGCTTTCCTTTTTGATTTTCAGATATAAAGGAGATTCTGTCTATTTTACCGTCTACATTTTCAGTTTCTGAGTTCTACACTACCGTTCTAGTGCTGTTATGGACATGAATGCTGCGCAGAATCATTTCAACAAACGTGCTCGATTGTTTGAAGACCCTAACAACAGAGATGCTAGGGTCATGTATCCATCGAACCCTACTTCTGCTGAACAGATGAATAGAGGTTATGGTGGTTCTGCAGCCATCCAAAGCTTTTTCAAAGATTCTAAACCTGAAGAAACACCGCCAAAAGTTCTTAAGAAGAGAGGAAGGAAGAAGAAGAATCCTAACCCTGGTAAGTTTCCAGAGACAGACTCTTCATTACGTATTGACTTTTTGTTCTGAGGAGAGTTTTAAGATTCATTGTTTTGGTATGCGCAGAGGACATAAACTCTTCAACTCCTGGTGGAGATGACTCTGAGAACCGTTCAAAGTTCTACGAGAGTGCTTCTGCTAGAAAGAGAACTGTAACTGCAGAGGAAAGAGAGAGAGCCGTCAATGCAGCCAAAACATTTGAACCAGCCAATCCTTTCTTTAGAGTTGTTCTGCGACCATCATATCTATACAGAGGCTGCATCATGGTAAGACACTTCTCACATATTATAAACCAAGTTGAAGATTAGAGTGAAAGGCTCAATCTTTACCATGACCTGTTTTGTAAAGACTTGTTTGTTTCTTTTGTTTTTGGTTTTACAATAGTACTTGCCTTCTGGATTTGCTGAGAAGTACCTAAGCGGCATATCTGGTTTCATCAAGCTCCAGCTCGGTGAGAAACAATGGCCAGTGAGGTGCCTTTACAAAGCAGGGAGAGCTAAGTTTAGCCAAGGATGGTATGAGTTCACGCTCGAGAACAATATAGGCGAAGGAGATGTATGCGTGTTTGAGCTACTCAGAACTCGGGATTTCATTCTGAAAGTCACTGCCTTTCGCGTCAATGAGTACATGTGACCAAAAAAGATTTCGCTTTCATAAGTGATCTTGCAGGTAGCTTTCCAAAGTCAAATTTCATGTAGGGTCTCTTAACCATCCTCTCTCTTGCATTGGTTCTCTCTGTTTTAGTAGTGTTGTGAGTGAAACTTCAGGTTCCTATGTTTCAATGTGGATAAGTATTTGACGATTATAATAACCTCGAGTGAAAACTCTTTGTTTGATTGGTAGTTAGGTTCAAAAGTAGAGTTGTATATACTTTATCTTCATAAGGAGAATTATGTTGATGTGAAATGTTGATTATGATGGGGTTTTGTGTGTTTGGATCATAGTTTCTGTTTCTCCTTAAATTTAGTCAGGGAAGCCACTGGTCAAACTGTGAGACGAAACCATTAAAATGAACATTACACATAATACTCTTACACAAAGGGTCTTAAAAGACCCAAGTTTTTACTACAATCTAGCTTCCAAAGCGACAACTATCAAGAGCTAGAAACCTCAGAGATCTTTGAACCTTCTCCTACACCTCCTCAAGACTCTCTTATCTTCTTCAATCAATATCTTCAACACCATCTACAAGAAAGAAGACCAATAACAAATCATATAGAAGACACAAGGCAAACAAAACCTACAAAATCTTCCTCAAAAGAAGTTTTATACCAAAATGAAGCAAATTTCTCGGACTTGATGCTGACACTTGGTTTCTTCTTCTTCTTCAAAAATTCACTCAAACTAATCACTCCTTCACTGTCACTACTCTCAAATCCAGCAAGCCCTTGTTCATCATCATTATCCATAACTTCCACCACTTCTTCTGTATCATCGTCACTCACAATGACATATTCCAATGGATACTCAATCTCAGAAGTAGTCCCATCAAAGATCACAACACGAAAACTAGAGTTCCCTTTGTAATGAAAAAGCAAAAAATGACCTTCCTTTAAAGAATGAGCCTCAGCAAACGCACTCCAACCATTCTCAAACCAAACCTCATCACCGATTCGTTTGATCCTAATCGAACGCTTGAAACCAACAGGAGTCTCAACACTTACACTGTCACTGAGCTTAGGACCTAATCTTACAAATCTCTCCGGAACTTTCTGTAGAAAAATCCCACACATGCAAGAAAGCTTCAAAACTTCATACAAGAACTTGGTAAATAAAATAACAAAATAAAATGTGTAAGATGTTTTTTTGTTACCATCATTTTTGCCTTGATAGTTGAAAGACGAATAATCTTGTAGAATTTTTCCACCGCAGGTTCTGGCTCCGGTGTTACCCGGCTTTGAGATGCTGCCGACGTGATTCGAACCGATGATCTAGTAGGCATTTTCCTCATTTTTGGTTTTCTTCTTGCCAAGAAGAGATTCTTACTCCAAGAAAAGAGAAGTAAGATGAAGAAAGTGAAGAGACTGCCTTTTTATTTTATTTTCTTTCTTTGTCGTGTAAAACTGCATGATTCATCATTACACAATGGAAAAAGTTTAACTCTTTCAGATTCCCAACATTATTTATTTATTATTGTATTAAATTAAACTAGGGCAGGCCTGAGAAAAGGCTACAAAGGAAGTAAAGACTATATATTTGTTGGAATACATTACTATAAAATAGTATTAATTGTCAGTAAATGAGTTTTTTCTTTGATAAATTGTGAGTAATGACTTTTTTCTATGATGTTAATTTAGATAAATATGTTTGTTTTCTAATTTCAAATTTATCAAATATATACTCTGTATAATCAGTAAGAAAATACAGTAAGTTACCATAAAAAAAAAATTATATTGCATGATTCTTAAAGAGTTGAGAGAAATGATCGGAGACATTTATTGATCGTTCTTATTTCTTCGAACCAGTTTTTGCTGTATGGTTCACTATTTTTAGTGCGATACACTCTTCCCCATCTTGTTAATAAGTAATTTATGCAATTATTAGGGATACTTATTAGTGTATTATATCTACATAATACTTCGATCGATCATATTTTAGTTTAAGATAATAAAGTAAGGAAAATCTACTGTTGATCAGAACTGGCCGGTGCTTCCACCATCACAGTTGCAGAACGATCACTTCCTTGCCGACAAAGACGTTCGTACTCCGTCGATGACCTCGTCTTAGGCAAAACAACGTTACCGGAAAACTTGAGGCACAAGGCACATGTAATGATTAGTATAGCTGACAACATCCAGCTAAACTGAAGATTCGCCAATGCTTTTGCCCTGGCCTCAGCACCAGGAGACTCACAAGCCACCGCGCTACTGTGAACAACACTTCTTCTGTTGTTGTCTGCAGATGTTGTCATGTTACTCACGCAACCTCTAGGAACATACTCTGGGACCCAAAGCATGAAGCCCATGTTCAAGAACCAGCATCCTTGAAACATTACTGAGATTGGGAGGACTAGAGCCGCAGAGAATGATTTAGGGAAAGAAGCAGAAGCTAGAGCCGAGGAGAAGGAGACGAAAGCAATGAGTTGGAGAAGGAAATGGTAGTGACCTTCAAGACCTGAATGATCAGTTGAGTGAAAATGAAGAAGGAAGAGTTCTTGAGCGAAGACCGAGGCAGAGAGAACTCCGATTAGACCGGAGAAGAGATCTGAGCAAAGGGTTAGCTCGCAGAAGAGAGCGAAACACGCAAAGATAATGAGATGAAAGAACATGGAAGCATGTTCTAGGTTGTCTGGTTTGAAAGAGGTGAAGTTGAAATTAGGGTAATCTAGGGTTAAGAGAGTAATGGAGAGGAAGGAGAAGAAGAGAATCAAGAAAAGCTCAAGATGTTTGAGTTTAGGGAAAGGGAACCAGAATTTTGCAGAGAAGGTTTCAGGGCCTTTAAGACAGTAAGATCTTATGATGTTGAAGAGATGCCAAAGACCAAGAAATGCAAGTGAGAGACCAGGCACAAAGTGTCCTAAGAACGTTCCCATACTCGAATGGTTTTTAAAGTTTGGATTGTTTTCAAAAGCAAGAATCCGTTTAGTGTGGTTTTGAATGAGGTTTTTTGTGATGTGGTGTTTATATAGATGGGATATGATATGATAATGTGGTTGCGTTGCGTGATGGAAAATACCACTAAAAAAGCTTTGGAAATAAAGGAAAAAAGGTGGCTTGACCAATACGTAACACTTTAAGATTGTGGTGAAGAAAATAAAGAAAGTAACTTCGTTATCAAAAACTTTAGCTAACCAAACAGAGCAAAGCATTCGAAAAAACAGAGAGCAACGTAGGCGTTATTTGTTATTTCTACGTCAAAAGAATAGAAAGAAATAATCGTAGTGTAATTTATATTCATTTAAAAGCACTCTCTTTTTTTTTTCTTGTATCATCTTTTGAATTTTCTTAAAAATATATATAAACTTTACTATTTATAGATAATGATAACAAAAAGGTTCGTGCATGCACATGATTTTTGTTTTTGACACGAAGTCTAGAGATGCAAAAATCGAATGTGACTCCTTAATTGGAATGTAAAGTTTAAAAATATATGAGATTCATGATTCATGATCTATGCTTGATGATGGTGATTTCAATTAGTTGGAAGGATACTGTTATATAATTCATTGTTAATTATGTATTGCACTACGTTCAAGTGGTTGTCTATAGATATTACAAAAACGATGGAATATTCCGTTTGAGTTTAAGATCTAAAGTGTAAATATGTAAAATAAAGCAGGATAAAACCAGTTTTCTAGAGAAGTTGTGAATCTTTTATATGATAATCTTATTTAGTATTCCTCTTTTGATGTAATACAAGATTAACAATAATGAATAAATTGACCTAACTTTTGATTAAGACGACCCCAAAAAAAGAAAAAGAAAAAGGAGGAGCCAATGAAACTATTGAGGATGGGTTTATTGGGGTCATTCTCCATCGACTCCAAGTGGAAACTAAAGAGTGTTTTCCACTTCCTCAGAATATGGCAATTACGTTGAATCCATTTACTACCCATTCTAAATATACTTTTATTTATGACTTCTAAATCCCATCAGTACTATTTTGATGCCAATACCAGATTAACACTACCTTAATTGCCGTTGTGTTAGGTTTATGATCTTACAACATTAGCAGGATTCGTGAGTTATAAGTTAAGTAAATTTTGGTTTGTTTAAAATACGACAAAATTGTAGAACAACAAAGTAAACCTCATGTTAACAAAATAAGATGAAAAAGTAAACCTGACAAATAACGGTTCGTAAAAAAAAAGTAGAAATTGGTTTGTCGTTTACACGAACTCTGGACCTATGGGCTTTCCAAGTAAAAGAGTTGTTGGGCTTTTAGTTCTGGGCTATCCAAGTGTAATAAAGTTATTGGGCTTTTCTTCTCCAGCAATCAAAAATGTTTTGAAAAAACAAAATCCGACCTGCCGGAATCGAACCAGCGACCTAAAGATCATCTGTTGTTAACAACTACAGTCTTCCGCTCTACCAACTGAGCTAAGGTCGGATATACTTAGCGCCTCGCTAAACCAACTTATATAGTGATAAATTATAAATTTTACAGTTTACACACTAATAACAAGACATCAAAAGCATGTTTTCATTAACTTGATACTTCTGTATCTGTAAGCTAATGTTTATATGATAAGATCCATAGGATATTATGTGCATGTTTTAACCTTCACACCAGTTTCGGCCATAGATTAATGGAACACCTGATGTATATACCATAGTATTGTCTTTCTTAGAACTTAACTCCGAAGTTTGATTTGTTTATTTAGATTAAATTATCTAGGATTAATTTTGTGTTGGCTTAACTAATATTGGTTATTTGATACCCCTGTTATGAGGAAAAGCTAGTTATATATCTATCATGTATGTGCAGATGTGCTATGTATCATAGAATACGTACATTTTTGAATGGCTTTTAGACTCATCCGTCAAAACTACAGAACTGGACGTGTTTCACTCGTACATTTACAAGACTTATGATATTGTAAGAAAGAACATTAAAATCAATAACAAAGCAATATAACTATATATATATATATATATATATAAGTAATACAACTGATTCGTAGGATCAGATCTCATGATTTTTTTAGTAGCATTGACCAAATGTTATAAATCCACAGACCACAGGTATACATTCAATTAAAAAAATGCTACTATATTAGATAAATTATTGCTTGCGTTTCGTTCATCTACATACATATATACAACACAATAAAAATATAACATTTTATCTAAAAGAATCATCTCATTTTCAAGAATCTGAACTAACAAATCTCCCTTACGTATCACAAATCTCTAGTTGCAATTTTATATATTCCAAATTTTCCAAAACAACATTAAAATACAACCAACAATTTTTAAAAGATGGAATTTTCACATTCAACAATGACAACAACAACCATAGAGAATAAAGATCCCATACATATAATATACAAACAACTAACTTTTATATACAATCTCATTTTATTACATTTTTTTTTGTTTCTCCTTATAGCGAAATCTTTTACTTTCCATTCTTTCTCCACCTTCTTTCCTCTTATAGTTTCACATGATTTTAAAAATACATGCATGCGAAATTAGTCAGAGAAACAAAATCTTAACACACCAACAAAGCAAAAGGAGACAAAGACTTTTTCACACTTTCGACAAGAAGACAAAACCACTTGTAACGTGGCAGTTCGCTATTTGTCCATCGCTTGTACGAAGATCTACCTAGTTGCCTGCCACCCCAATCAATGCTTAACACATTCACATTGTCCCGCGTATCATTCACGCGCATACGTTGTTCACTCTTCTTCACGTGCTTATGACGCGTAATCAGTCACGCGCCACACTTTGACGGAATTGTCTAAACTCCCACTGTACACTATCCACCTTCGATCATCTTTCTCTCCGTCGTCCTCTTCCACCGCCGTTATACACTTCACTGGTCCTTCGTGATCCATCAAAACAGAGAGACACGTGTGTGATCCGTCTCCGTTTCTCCTCCAAACGCATATATTCTTATCAGCTCCGCCGCTTAATAACAAACTCCCGGCGGTGGTGAGACACAACACTGCCATACGGTGGCCGTGAATCGTCCCTTTGTGAGTCAAATACTTCTGACGTTCCCAGATGTTCACGGTACCGTCCGATGAACCGCAGTAAACCACGCCGTCCGTTAAATTAACGGCTAACGCCGTTACAGCGCTCTCTTGTTTCATCAACACTTGTACTAAAACATGCTTCGTTTCTTTTCCTTGTACCTCACGTTTCCATACTTTTAACGTTCCGTCTGCCGAACCGGTGAATACCAAATCGTCGAATCCGGCAACCACCGTGTTAACCGCGTCTTCGTGCGCCTCGATCGATTCTAAACACTTGGAATCTGATAGTCTCCAGACCTTAAGAGTCTTGTCCCAAGAACCTGAGTAGAGTAAACCGAGATCTTCGTTCAAACTCATACACGACACGGCGTCGAAATGTCGGATCTTCACCACGTTTTTCCGGCGACGGACTTCGACGTAGTTTCTCGGGTTTACCGATTTGGTGAGAAACTCTTTGAGAGTCGGTAAGCTTCCGACTCGTGAATATTTCTCAGGGTTCTTCTTTGAGCCTCTCCAAACCCTAATTTTACCATCTTGATGACCGGTGAAAACCCGGTTATCTCTGGTTATCACGATAGCCTTAACGAAACCGCTCGTCGATTTGAAACCGGAGTAATCTTTTAAATCTTTCCAAACACGAATGTTCTTGGAATCGGATCCCGTGAAAAGAAGATCACCTGAGGCAGCAAGAGAGTACACGTGTCCTTCTTGTCTCACGACCGTACCGATCAAACCGTTATCAGGATCATCTTCGAAATCACTGTTCCTGGTTTGGTACATCCAAGGTGATTTATGGTAAGGAGAGCAAGTTTGGTTCCATGGTGATTGAGAAGCTGATGTAAAAGCCGTCGTGTTCTCGTTACTTGGATAGTAAGTTTGGTTCCATGGAGATAATGGGTAGATTGGTGATGATGAGTCGCTACTTGCACTTGAGGCGTTGCTTGGACGTTGAGAATCGCTGTTGGTGCTAAACGCTGTGTGGTGATCATGATGATGATCGCCGTCGCTGTGGTAAGTTTCTTCCTCGCCGGCGAGAGAGTTCGATTTCAAGAACGCCGCAAAAGTCATCCTCCGGAGATAATCTTTGTGACTTGGATTTTCAATAGCCATAGTTGTCTTTGGGGATTCGATTATTTGGATTGTAAAGAAGAATAATATAAGTGTTTGCTTTGAAATAATTCTTGAGATAATATATGAAAGAGCTAAATAATAAGAGCATGTAGAAGAAGCTGCCTTGGGGTATATATATATATACAGAATCGTGTATGTAGAAAGGTGGGGAATAAGCTGATGACCGTGTAAAAGCGACACGTGGTAGCTAGAGAAGACGTGAGTGACCAAGACCGGGACACCGGGTTTGCCAGTTTCCTTTCAAGAGTCGGAGACCCAAATAATATAATAAAAACATTGAAAGTAATGTTAATTATGTTTTCGTTGACATCGTATGTATATCATACATATGTGTGTGTGTTGTTTATTTGATCAAATGTGATATATTTTCACATACAAAGGTATATAAAGTTATAATGGTTAAATGGTGGGAAACTGAGAAGAACAAAATCTATAAAGTGTTATGATTAATCGATAAGTTCCATTCCATGGGTTTAAAATACCACTACATATTCAGATTCGTTACATTGTGTATGCTATACTTTTGAGAACTTATAACTTACGTTATAAAGTACACTATAATTTTAGAAGTCATTAATAAAACTGTTTTTATTTAACCATGTAAAAACAGTTGACAAATTTATAATCATGTCTTAAAATATGTTTTGGGGTTGGTTGACCAATAAAAAAAGATAAGGTATGTGTGGCTGTGTTGTCGGCTCGTCATCTTTACACGTTGCACAACATAGCGTGAACTGGGGGAAAAGGTATTTCTCGAATCGAAGCCGTAGCGGGAATTTTTGTTTTTCTAATTTTTTTTTTATCACTATTTTATCATAATTTTGTTCTGCATGAACTTAAGATAACTTTCCTTCTAGAAGTTTGACTTTTTAAACTCCGTCGTACAGTAGTTTTAGTTTTGGGTTAATTTATTAGTTATAGTATCAAATCCATATAGTGTATAGTTTTCTAAAAGATCGATGTTTTGGTTTTTCCACAATTTAGATAAAATTAAATATTTGTTTATAAATTAATTTATAATTATTGTTTGGTAGAAAAAAAATATAAACTATTAAATGACTGTCATGCGGAAAAAAATGATAAAGTAAAAATACAGTTTTAGTTTTTAAATCTATAAAATCAATTGTTTAGAAACAAAATGTTTTTTCAAAATATCAAACATTGTAAAAGAGAGAAATAGAGTAATAACTAGAGCGTTCTATATCGTTTGGGGTTAATTTATAGTTTACTTCTTTTTAGTCTTTAGTTTCGATCTTTGGGGTTAATTTTTAGTTTGCTTCTTTTTATTCTTTAGTTTCGATCTTTTTCGTTTATGATTTTAAAATTCATGTCGTATTATTCTAGTTGTTTCTTTTAATTAAATCTTAATTTCTGATAATTTTTTTTTGTATGTTGGTTTAGTTTCTCTAATTTGGGTTTTAGGTTCCAGTCAAATTCACTATTATAATAACATCAGTTGACAAAAAAAAATGAGCGTTCTCTTTTTTTAATCAAAATTTATATATATATTAATCTTTCTACAATTATAATTTAATATAAATAATTTAGTCTGTAATCGTTCAAGTATAAGATATCATCTCTTCCCACGATTACTAAAATTTTCTTTTAAATATGCACTTTTGAAAACATTAATAGAAACAAAAAATTGGACTAGACTACACATTGATCATACTATGCGGATCACATCAAAGCGTGCGTAAAATCTATGATATATCTATGATCCTACAATATTAAAAACAATGTCTAGCTCCACAATTGAATTAGAGGTGTATTTCAATCAACATATTAAGTGATATGCCTAAAAATAACATATATAATGTTACTTAATCATAAATATTGAAATCTAATAAATCTAATGTTTTTGAAATAGTAATAAAAATCTATTTAAAAAAATCAAAATATACATTTAATAGGTTTTAATAATTATAGATTTCTCTAATTTTAACGAATGTTAATGTTTAATATTTAGTTTGGTCCATAGGATCACAGTAATCCAAAAAAAAAAATGATCGAATTGAAAAGATGTAACGAACGAATATAAATTTTTCTTTTCACAAGTACTTCAATATGTCGGCCGGCCATCACTACGAGTAAACCTGTGAAGGGAAACGATTACGCTGCATTCCTTGTATCAACTTTAATCAATACTTTAATTATTCATCACATGATTTTGTATATATTTAGTTATCATTACAAAAACAAAACGTGAGCTCGTGAGTGGTGTGACTACTCATTTTTTTTAGTAAACGACGCACCACAATCTATTTCTGGTTATGGTAGTAGTAACCATGAAAAACGTATATATCATCCCTTGCTTTTTTCGAATTACAAATAAATTTTGAAAAAATAAAGCTGAGGATACTAATGCTTTGAATATTTATGATAATAAACTTCGTTTGACATATTTGACTGTTCGACCTTCGACGTATATATATACCGGTCACGATAGAATATTAATACTAATTATCTTTGAAGTAATGAAAGCAATTTTTTTGTAATCATAAAGAAACATTGTTAGAAGAAGATACGACATTATATATTGAGAAGGAAACATATCAGGTTCTCTCATTCTCTTATAATATCCCCAAAAGCTAAGTTCTCTAACTATATAGATAGCTAAGTTCTAAGTATATATGTTTATCTGAAGTTCTTAACAAATCAACATTTCTACGACGTGAGTTGCAAATTTAAATACATAGCGTATGACCATTGTGCTCACGATACTAAAATGTTAAGTGTTATAAAAAAAAATTCGGAAAGCTCCGTTTACGACGAAAGTTTTCGCTTTTGGTTCCACCACACACGTAATATTCATACTTTTTATGCTGATCATTATTCATATATATATATATTCTTTCATGAATATATAAAGTTTCACATTTATTAGAAAGAAAAAAAACTGCATTTTACTGACTAATAAGTGTTGACATTTTTGCCACCCATATATGTGTGCATGTTTTTCTTCTTTCCAAAACTATTTATTATAAATTTCCAAAACCAAAGCAAGTAAGAAAACGAGGCGTAGAAATTAAATATGCAGTGCATCTAATACAATAATACGTTAATATATAGCAAATTGCTAGGTTTTGAAACGTATAACAACTAGCTATATTTCGTTGACTTTGATGTATGTGATGTGATGCAATTGGTGATTCATTGTTTGCAGTTTCACAAGCAAACTCTTTGTGCCTTCAAAAATATAATATCTATAAAGATATTTCAATCAAAGTATCTAAATGTGCCTTTATAGATATTTTAAAAATGCCGTTAAACATAAAGAAGGTTGAAAATAACGAAAATTTATGAAGACTTATAAGGTAATCTAACATAATATAGTACATACGTGCCCACTTCGAGTATACATATAAGAAATCTAAGTACGTAAGCATATCTAACAAATATCATAAATTAAAGACTTGAATAACTTTGTGCCCGTGGACTGTTACATTTGTATTTACTCGTTTGATTTTAGCTTAGTTATTAATATTAACTTAAAACTTATACTCTAAAGTTGCTTAGTAGCATTGTATTGAGATCACCCAACACATCTGGCCTTGTTTGGCGGACCGAAACATTGCTAAGAATCTGATTTTATTAATCTCTATGATTCGGTGAAGCTATCATGTTTAGTTTTTTTATTTATTACGTGCATTAAAAAAAAAAAAGATTGTGATATGCTACGTGGATAGATCTCCTGATAATCCGTGTTGTCGTGAAGACACGTGCTATGTAAGTACGATTAGATATCTCTAATCACCTGTTTTTAAGTCTTTTGACCATGACTTAATATTTGGATTTATCAGTTGATATGAACTCTCAAGACCTAGACACCTGTCGGATCGTGAAACATATTTTTTTGCGTAACAAACATCGTTTAGCAAATATATATAAGATATTAGATAGCACTGATTTTAGAAAGAAAAAAATATATAGAAAAATCCAATGCTCTTTACAAAAAAACAGAAAAAAAAAAAAGTACGCGTATCACTTGTAATGACTAATATATTTATGTAAATTTTTAATGATTATGATAAATCAATCGTATATATGAGATTAGTTGAATAAAACATAATTTTCAGGTACAATGCATGAGATGAGACCACCCATAAAGAGAAAGAGAAATTTACCTCCGTTGTACTATCTTTTGTGTTGGCATCATATGGATCACTCAAAGGTTAATAATTGTGTTTATTCCAACTCATATAGGGCAATAATCAAAGATAATTTGTTTTTTTATTATTTAATCATTTGACTTCAAATCTTAGGGATAATCAAATATCTAGTTTTCAAACTTCTTTGGTAAAAATATCAATGTGACTGAAAGATATTTTTTTCAAAATAATCACATTTTAAAACTAATAAGGATGTATAGAGGTGGACGCCATATACTACTTTTTCATAATAAATATATATATTTTTAGCCTGATCTTTTACACTATCGTATGCGTAAATTAAATTGGCTCGTCGGTCCTAGATAAAATAAGCTAAAGGGATGAACAAGTTCTGAGATTTTATTAAAACATTCGAGTGACTTCTGTGGGTAATGTACAACGTTACAAGTAGCAACAAGTGTTAAGTGATGAATGGTTCCGAGAGTACTCGCATAAGAGAGTTTGTCGGAGATTTGTATGGACGAGAAAATCTTAAGATATGGGACCGTGCAACCTTCTAATCTCGGAGACTCGTTTTGCTAACTACTTGTGTTGCCCACGTATCGTTTCATAGTTTGATCAATCTTTCACAATATAATATATGATAAAACGGATGGGATTATTGTTTTTATTCGATGAATATATGTTAAAATTTTGATATATTTTTGAGGTTTTTCTCTTATCATATGATATCACACGTATGGATAACTAAAAGAGAACTCAAAATGTGTATCAAGACAAAAAAAAAAAAATCATTAGTACATTTTGCTTTAAAATATATAGTTTTAATTAAAGTAATAAAATATAGTTTCCAAACTATGTATTGAGAGTGTGACAAGAACCACTTGAGAGAGGATCCGAACACAATTTTAACATATCAGACAACCAAAATAGCATCAGA